CACAAGCTCGTTCTCCACCCTGAAGCATGCTGGGGTGGGGGATGACCCCGCCAGGCAGGTGATCTATCTATTCAAGGCAGAAATTCCTGGGCACCATACCACAGCTATAGCAGAAACTAGCTTTGTGGGAGGCTATAAGAACCCAAAGTCAGGAGGCTGTGCTGACCCAAAGTTAGAAGAAAAGAGGCTGAAAATGCCAGGCCCATCGCTGGATGAAGGGTCTGCTCCAAATCATTCCTCCTTCCTGCTTTCTCCAACTCCCCTGCTTCCTAATGCCATCCTGCTGTAAGAGATCCACAGGATCCAAACCGCCTCTAGGATCTGGGGAATCCACCCTACATGAAACCCCTCTGGTCTATCACCTGTCCCCTCTCTAAAGGGAGCTGGGAGTGGCTAAGAACCAGCTTGCCTCTGGTGCCCACTTCCTTCCCCCAGCCTCTCCAGCGGCATCAGTGAAGTGACAGATCCACTGAGGAGCAGACATGACATGTAATTTCCGGCCAAGAGATTTTTTCCAAAACAATCTACCGTATTCTTGGGAATATATGCCAACCTCAACTCCAAGCCAGCCCTCTCTTACCCCCACCCTCCCTCTTCTCTAAGCCCTGGAGGGAAAACAACATACTGGGGAAAAGGAGGGAGGCTTATAGTTCCTCTCCCAGCCAGAGGATTATCTTGCCTCCACATGCCAGCCCCACCAAGCCCAGTCAGCCTCAGCTCACCTGCTGTACACAGGCCGCAAGCTTCTGAACCAAAGCCAGGCTGGCTCCCCTTGGGACCTCATCCCAGAGGGAACTGCAGCAGGCAACCCCACACCTTCAGGTCAGGCCAGGTTTGACATCACACTGGTCTGGGGAGGAGGCTGGCCTGGGGCCAACAGAGAGAGGGGGTGATTCAGAAACACACCATGGCTGTCCACACCCTCTCCATTTCCAGGACGCAGGGCCCAGCCCCTCCCAGGAGAGCTTGGCAAGCTGTGGTTCTGAGGAGAGACAAAGCTGAGGCATATTGGCTTAGTGGTGCTGAGCCCACAGGCCCCAAGTCCAGCCCTGGAGCCTCTTCACCCATCTCCTTAACTGATGTTTCCCAAAGACTTCCGAACTCGCCCTTCCTTCTCTCAGTGGATGCTCTGCTCTCTGGGTGTCACTTTCTCTCCTCCTGGGGCTCCAATTACCACGTGCTCTGTCTCCATTTCTTAACCTCCTGAAGCTCTAGGCCCCCATTTCCAGACAGTTCCAGGACAGTTCCACCAGGACGATGCACAGGTACCACAAATTCTATATATCCAAACTGAGCTCATGAGTTACCCCCCCCCTTAAAGCTAGCTAACACATGTTCCTATATCCTGACTGAAAATATCACAAGCCAACACTGGCCACCCAGGCTAGAAACCTCACCCCCACCTCTCCCAACCGTAACTCCCTACCTTTCCCACTAGGCAAGCCACAAAATCCAATCAATACCAATGGGATCAAGAATCAGACAGACCTGAGCTGAAATCTTGGCTCTTGTCAGTTTCTAGTTGGGCAACTTTTGGACAAATGACTTAACCTCTAAGACTCAATTTCCTCATCTGTAAAATGGGAATAACCAGCACCTCCTTCGTAGATTCAATGAGATGGTGGATTCAATGAGATAATGAATAGCACACTTAGTACAGCACCTGGCACACAGCTGCCTATTGCTGTTATTGTCATCTGAAGTCCCTCCCCTGCTTCTATCCTTCTGTAACTCCTCAATAAGCCAGATACAAGGTGCTTCAGGATCCACTCCTTGCCTATTTGTCACCTCCACACCTTATCATTTTCCTCAAATGTCTCCATTTTCCAACGAAATCAGATACTTGCCCCTTCCTGATATAAAATCCATGAGCAGAAATGAGTTGCACTTCTATACACGAACAATGAGACAGAAGAAAGAGAAATTAAGGAGTCAATTCCATTTACAAAGGCGCCCCAAACCTTAAGATACCTTGAAATAAACCTAACCAGGTTTAGGTGAAGGCTCTATACTCAGAAAACTACAGAACACTCATGAAAGAAATCGAGGAAGACACAATGAACTGGAAAAACGTTCCATGCTCATGGACTGGAATAACAAATTTTGTTAAAATGTCTATGCTATCTAGAGCATCTATACATTCAGTGCAATCCCTATCAAAATACCATCAACTTTTTTCACAGAGCTACAACAAATAATCCTAAGATTTGTATGGAGCGAGAAACGACCCTGAAGAGCCAAAGGAACGTTAAAAAAGAAAACCAAAGCTGGCGGCATCACAATTTCAGACTTTAAGATCTATTACAAAGTTGTAATAACTTCCTTCTGGGAAGCCAGTATGGTACTGGCACAAAAAGAGACACAAAGATCAATGGAACAGAATAGAGAACTCAGAAATGGACCCAACTCCATGGCCAACTAATCTCTGACAAAACAGGAAAGAATGTCCAATGAAAAAAAGACAGTCTCTTCAGCAAATGGTGTTAGGAAAATTGGACAGCCACACGTAGAAAATGAAACTGGACTATTCCTTACACCACACACAAAAATAGACTCCAAATGGATGAAAGACCTCAATGTGAGACAGGAATCCATCAAAATCCTTGAGGAGAACACAGGCAGCCACCTCTTCCGATTTCAGCTGCAGCAACTTCTTGTAGACATGTCTCTCAAGGCAAAAATGAACTACTGGGACTTATCAAGATAAAAAGCTTTTGCACAGCAAAGGAAACAGTCAACAAAACCAAAAGACAACCAATTGAATGGGGGAAGATATTTGCAAATGACATATCAAATAAAGGGCTAGTATCGAAAATCTATAAAGAACTTATCAAACTCAACACCCAAAGAACAAATAATCCAATCAAGAAATGGGCAGAAGACGTGAACAGACATTTCTCCAAAAAAGACATCCAAATGGCCAATAGATACATGAAAAATTACTCAACATCACTCAGCATCAGGGAAATCAAATCAAAACCACAATGAGATACCACCTCACGCCAGTCAGAATGGCTAAGATTAACAAGTCAGGAAATGACAGATGCTGGTGAGGATATGGAGGAAGGGGAGCCCTCCTACACTGCTGCTGGGAATGCAAACTGGTACAGCCACTCTGGAAAGCTGTATGGAGGTTCCTCAAAAAGTTGTAAATAGAGCTACCCTACAACCTAGCAACTGCACTACTGGGTATTTACCCCAAAGATACAAATGATCTGAAGGGACATGTGCACCCCAATGTTTATAACAGCAATGTCCACAACAGCCAAACTGTGGAAAGAGCCCGGATGTCCATCGACAGATGAACGGATAAAGATGTGGGGTGTGTGTGTGTGTGTGTGTACACATACACAATGGAATACTACTCAGCCACTGAAAAATGGATTCTTGCCATTGGCAACAACATGGATGGAACTAGAGGGTATTAGGCTAGGCGAAGTAAGTCAACCCAAGAAAGACAATTATCATACGATCTCATTGATATGTGGAATTTAAGAAACAAGGCAGAGGATCATAGGGGAAGAGAGGAAAAAATAAAACAAGATGAAATCAGAGAGGGAGACAAACCGGAAGAGACTCTTAATCATAGGAAACAAACTGAGGGTTGCTGGAGGGGAAGTGGGTGGAGGGATGGGGTAACTGGGTGATGGACACTAAGGAGGGCATGTGATGTAATGAGCACTAGTTGCTATATAAGACTGATAAATCGGGACACCTGGATGGCTCAGCTGATTAAGCAACTACCTTCGGCTCAGGTCGTAATCCCGGAGACCTGGGATCAAGGCCAGCACTGGGCTCCTTGCTCAGAGGAGAGCCTACTTCTCCCTCTGCCTGCCACTCCCCCTGCTTGTGCACTCTCGCTCTCTCTCTGACAAATAAATTAAAAAAAAAAAAAAAAAGAAAAAAAAAAGGCAGTTGAATCACTGAATTCTACCGCTGAAACTAATAATACACTATATGTTAACTGAATTTAAATTAAAAAAAAAATTTTTTTTAGAAAGATACTTGCCCTTCCCTAGACCTACTCCCTCCTTTAATTTTAATGTCTCTGAGCTATTCTCTTCGTGATGGTTCTTCTCTTTGTCTACATGATGACACATTCCTCAAGACCCATGTCATCTCCTCTGTAAACTGCCATTTCCTACCCCCAAAAGGTTTTATTTTTGCCATTCTTTCTGTTATTGTTAAAATGATATTTGAAAACAGGAATGGTATAAACATATAGTATAGTTCACCCTTGAACAACATGGGTTTGAATAAGGCAGCTCCACTTATATGTGGATTTTTTTCCATAAATATGGTACAGTACTAGAAGTGTATTTTCTCTTCCTTATGATTTTTAGTAACATTTACTTTTCTCCAACTTACTTTGTTCTAAGAATACTGTATACAATACATACAGCATATAAAATATGTGCTAACTGCTTATGTTATTGATTAATTTTTCCAGTTAAGAGTAGGCTATCAGGGACGCCTGGGTGGCTCAGTTGGTTAAGCAGCTGCCTTCGGCTCAGGTCATGATCCCAGCGTCCTGGGATCGAGTCCCACATCGGGCTCCTTGCTTGGCGGGGAACCTGCTTCTCCCTCTGCCTCTGCCTGCCACTCTGTCTGCCTGTGCTCGCTCTCTCTCCCTCTCTCTGACAAATAAATTAAAAAAAAAAAAAAAATATATATATATATATATATATATATATCTGCCTTCCCTTAAAAAAAATGCTTTAAAAAAAAAAAAAAGAGTAGGCTATCAGTAGGTAAGTTTTGGGGGAGTCAAAAGTCACGTGCAGATTTTCAACTGTGTGAGGAGTCAGCAGCCCCAACCCCAAAATAGTTCAAGAGTCAACTACAGTATAATACATGTGAAAAATAGACAAATGAACCTTGAAAATGTTTAATTATCCATCATGCTCTGATCCTTAATGGGTAACTATTCCTATAACAATCTGTATTGGTACATAATTCTACTGAGAGTTCTAAACACAAACCTCTACTGTGGTTTGTACCTTGTAAAGTCACCATCTGTTTTCATCTGTCAACTTGAAGGCAGAAGCCAACAAGGTACCTGGCCAAGAGAGTTTGCTGAAAGGGACTTCAAACCCATAAGATGGACCCTGGAGAAAGGAAGGCTGCCTTACTTCCAGCAGCTACCAGGAATAAGGTTCACTGTCTCCCCCCTCTCCACCCACCCTGGCTTTGCTCCCTCCCAGTATTTCTAATCCAGAAAAGCAAGCACCTTTGCGGAGAGAGGGGCTGCCAATTTCATTACAGCCCCTCCTGTCCCAGAACCACTAAGCTACTTTGCTCCCGCAAAGCCGGTTCAGCACCTGGGAGGACACGGGCAGTCCCTCCGGCAGAGAGAGCCCAGAATCCGCCTTCTGGAGAAGGCTGCATTCTCACTAGATTCTGCAGGGACAGCCGGAGTACACACACCGTAGCGTTAATGGGAAGGAAGTCCAGTTTGTCAGGCATCCCAGCCTTACCAAGCTGGGGGGAAGGCAGGGCACAGAAGCAGATACAGGGACCCACTAAGCTTCATCGTCTTCGACTGCAGCAGAGGTGTGACTTCCAGAGAAGAAAGGAAAGAATCTGACTGAACACCACTGCACAGACCCCCATCAAACTCAACACCTCCCCACTTGTACCAACTTGGTCTTGAAAGTATTCTGGTGCTGTTTCATGCTCCAGCAGTTCAAGAGTGGCCTGCCAACCCTGACGCCCAGAGACAGGACCCTGAGAGCCCTAACACGTTCCTGGAGCATTCCTCCCACCAACAGAACACCACCCATGTGTGGCAGAGGATAAATTCCAGCAGCTGTCTGGGTTTTGTGCACACGCACCCCAGGCACGTCCTGTTGCCACTGCTGGGATGCGGGTTCTGCAGAGGGCCGTCTCTTGCCAATCCTCTGGCCCAGGCATCGTCACGACAGCACCAGTGATGCAGTGACTCCCGGGGAGGGAGGAGGGAGGCAGTCCAGCTGCTGGCAGCCAGCCACTCCCAGAGCTCTTCCAGGGCTGGTCCTTGCCTAGTTCTCCGCCTGCCGGCTCAGACCTCGCCCCACCCCCACCCCTTCAGCAAAAGCCTAGAGCTGAAGGGGCCCATTGTTGAGCCCTGGAGGTGGGGTGGGGAAAGAAGCCAGGGCTGGGACTGGTAGAGCATTTATTCTGCAAGAGGGACTGCTCGTCCCCTCTGGACCACATCCATAACCAGAACCCCAGGAACTGGCAACACCCAGTGCAGGACAGGCGGCAGGACGCAGGAGAGGAAGAGTCTGAAACTGGGAGCAAAAGAAATGCTGAACTACTTCCCACCCACTATATCCTGCCTCTCCACTTTAGCAATAACGGAACTGAGAACCTGAAAGGGAAGGGACTTGCCCAGTTCAAAGCACTCACAGAGCTATCATTTGGACCTGGGGGAGTGATTCTTTTCTAGCCACAGAGGGGCAGCCATGCCAAGCCAGGGAGGAGTAAAGATGAGGGACCAGGAGAGGAGACCTGCTTTATTAAGAGACACAGAAAATAGGAGACAGGCAGAGAAAGGTAGAACCTGGTGTTCTCACACCAAGCTGAGGCCCTTGGCTCCAGGGCTCCCAGAAGGCACCACTGCTGAAGGAAGAGACCAGGCCAAAACTCTTACTCCAACCCCCTCCTCAGTCACTTACCATGTACCTACTACGTGCTAACCCTGTGCAAGGGTTTGGGGGAAATAAAAAGGCAGGAGAAGTTACAGTCTGCATCCTCAAGAAGACACTATGTGCAGGTTCTTTTTTTTTTTTTTTTTTTGTAATGGAAAGCAATGGATTTTTTGTTAACTAATTTATTTTTAATAATCTCTATACCCAGCATGGGGCTCAAACTCAAGATCCCAAGATCAAGAGATGGGATGCTTACCCCACTGTGCTAGCCAGGTGCCCCTATGTACAGGTTCTTTAAAAGCTTTATCTAGGGGTGCCTGGGTGGCTCAGTGGGTTAAGCATCTGACTCTTGATCTCAGTTTGGGTCTTGACCTAATTATTAATTAGCTCTAATGATATTGACCTAAGATCTAATGATCTTGATCTAATTATTAATTTAATTTAAAAACAAAAAAGCTTTATCTGCATTGACTGATTACAAACCTCCCCTTACTATCCTGCATTATTCCTATTTTACAGATGAGAAAACTGAGGTTTGGAGAGGTGACCAGGGTCACACAGAGAGTAAGAGAGAAAACCAGAACTCAGCTCCTATACAGCTGCACACTGAATTTCTTGGCTCAAAGATGCAGGCCCACAGAGTCCCATCATTAAAAATATGCTGAATGGGGGCGCCTGGGTGGCTCAGTCATTAAGTGTCTGCCTTCAGCTCAGGTCATGATCCTAGGGTCCTGGGATTGAGCCCCGTATTGGACTCCAGACTTGGCCCCTCTCCTGCTTTCCGTGCTTGTGTTTCCTCTCTCGCTGTGTCTCTCTCTGTCAAATAAATAAATAAAATCTTAAAATATATATATATATATATGTATATATATATATATATATGTATATTTATATATACTGAATGAATTCAGGGATTCTGTGAGGAAGTTTCAAGAGAGGATAGAGGTTTCAGAAAAAGACAGGAGATTGCATACCCACACATAGTTCCACTCCTTCCCAAAGCCCCACCAAAACTACAATTTTAAAAAGAGAAAATAAAAACTTTAAGAGAAATTTTTTGAACAGCAGAGATCCCTAAGGATGGGAAGGACAGCAGAAGAAAGAACCACAACAAAATTTTGGAAGCTGGAAAGCAGCTGGGCCAGTGACAAGTGGGAGCCAAGCTGAGAAAAGTCACAACCAAGGTGAGAAGCATCTAACTGACCCCACAGAAACCTCAAACAGCTTGGGAAATGTCAGTCTCAAAAACCTCTCCAAGAGGAAGACGTGGCAGAGGGTAAAGTGCTAAAAATATAGAGTATTACTTTAAAGCTATTTAAGAAGCAGTAAGACACCCCCCACCACCACCCCATACAAAGCCACTGGGTTACTATCCTTCTACCATCCTGCAAAAGGCAGGGATTCCCCTAGAGGGGATAAATGGAACATCCCTTCAGGCACAGAGGGCCTGACTGGAGAATGGGGGAGGGGAGGAAGGGGCAGGAGGGAGGGGTGTGTGTGTGTGTGTGTGCGCGCGCGCGCTACATCAAAAATAAGGAAAGCACACATAGATGTTGAGATCCCAGTCCCCTTCTTTACTTCTTCCTCGAACATGGTGCCTGCCTTCCACCTCTTGGCAGGAGACCTGGGATCAAGCCCCGCATGGAGCTCCCCGCTTGGCAGGAAGCCTGCTTCTCCCTCTTCCACTCCCCATGCTTGTGTTCCCTCTCTCGCTGTGTCTCTCTCTGTCAAATACATACATATTTTTTTAAATTTATTAAAAAAGCAAAAAGAGTGTCTTTTCTGGTGACTCTGACCAGATCAAGAAATACATAAAGATACAAACACCAGTTCTCAACAAATGGCCCATCCAGGTCACCACACAAAGGAGCTCCATCAACAAGCCCATCCAGTGCTGAGAGCAGACAACACAAAATCACCAGACACCCAAGGCAAGCCTCTAACATGGAAGAGAGAGAGCAAAATACATAGGAAAAGACAACCAAGAGGAAACAAACTATGCAGGAGAAGAAAATTTCAGACAAAAAAACGCTCATTAATATATATTCAGAGAGACAAGATATTGTCTTTCTGGATATTATGTGGGGGGGGGATTACAAACAAAGTAGGTGTTTGTATTTGTATTTGACATACAAAATTCAACAGATGCATCCCCACTCCAACCAGCAGAGTTTGGCCCACAGCAAGTGCTCACTCATAGTATCTACTGAATGGATAAATGAAGTAGTGATTCTCAAGCTTTAATGCACACAGATCACCCAGGACCTTGTTAAAATGCAGATTCAGATTCCATGGATATGAGGTAGGCTCTAAGATTCTCCATTTCTAACAAGCTCCCAAATGACACATGGTTTGGTCCAGCAGACCACATTCTGGGAAGCAAGGGTCTTCTGGAGCTGTTCTTTGCACTGGCTAGGCATTAAAATTACTTGGAGCTAGTAGAGTGTCCACGTGGCAGCCCCACCCACTGAGACTCTAATCAACTTGGCCTAGATGAGACTGAGACATAGCTTAAAGCCTCTCCAGATGAATCCAGACCAGAGTTGAGAACCAATGCTCCACAGAAAGCCTGTAATTGTGTCAATCATTTGACCTGGCCAGAACTGTCCTGTTCTCCCATGTTCTCTCCCACTGTTGACACTGACCACTCTTTCTGAAGGCCCTTCTCACCATGGCCATGAGCATCAGTTTACGGGATGACTTCCTACACCAACGATGCTCCTCAATTCTGTGTAAGTCCTGTTAATGTCAGTGGATGGAGAAATCATTCTACTGAATCCCAAGATATTCATTCTGAGAATGTTGTCCTTATTAGATTCTCACACTTACCCTAACCTTCCTAATTTCTTTGTTACTTTGGACCTTAAAACTTTCAGGTTAAGCCCTTTTAGGGAGGAGTTTTTTGTTTGTTTTAGTGAATGTGGATATTTTCCTAACCAAAAATCCTAATCCATTTTCCCAATGTTCCTATTACTAAAGTAGAATTTAGTAGTTTTGTGTCCATCTCATCCACGCCAAACATGGGATAAAATAATATCAACAGACATTTACTGCTATCAAAATTGCTAAAGTTACAATAGAAGGGATGGAGGATAAGTTCAGGTCTTTCACAATAAAGAGCAAAAGACATAAAGATGGCAAAAAGGAAAGAAAGAAATAAAACCAGATGATCAGTACAAGAAGGTCCAATACCTAAACAAAAGGAGTTCAGAGGAGAGAGGGGAGGGAGGGAAATGGCCAAAATAATACAAGAAAACTTCCCAGACCTGAAGTACAAGCTTCCAAATCAAAAGGGTTCACTGAGCATACAGCACAAGATGAAAACAGACCCACAATGGGCTACATATTTAGGAAATCATTAGGAAACAGAATACTGGAGATAAAGACAAGATCTTACATACTTCTGGGCAAGGGAAAGGGTCCCACATAGGTCCCACACAGGATGTGGAGTGACTTTAGACTTCAGTGTTAACTCT